CATCAATCCGCATATGTATGTATACAAATGTATATATATATATATAGAGAGAGAGAGAGAGAGAGGAGGGAAATTACAGGACGGGTTTTGTGACTGAGTCCACGTTAATAAAAAAGGAAGCAAAGACGGGCAAGAAAAACCACACCCAATTGCACGAAAACCTGATAAAGAGATGAAAATAAAATTAAAAATCAATAATTAGTTCTAAGAAATATATAAACAAAATAAATTTCCTTGTTTTCAAGAGAATCATTTTTGAATGAAGTAACATAAAAGAAGAGAGGAATGAGTGAGAGAGACAACCTTGAAATATGCTTAGGCTACTATGAGAACGAGAAGAGAATCCTAAACACAACATATGGGGGAAATGGGCGGTACCTATTCCCGACCCATATCCTATGAATATTTAAAAAACACCACTTAATTGACCCAACGAGTAATAAAAAGAAGGAAATCCACGGGTTGGGTCTCCATGTGCATCCATAGGGTACGATCTCCATTACCATCCCTAGAGCAAGTAGCTCTAATTGGTAATTAAAAAAACACATGAAAATTTATATTAAACACTCAGTTACACATATTGTCGGGCAGATGGTGTGCGGAATTTATCTATGTAGTAACAAACACGAACTCAATACATAACCATACAACTCTAACATAAAAATCTCCATAGAGGAAGAAAAAAATTAAAGGCAAATCAGAAAAACATATACCAGATTGTCCATTTTTCAGAGCAGATCTCTAGACACAGTGGATTGGAATTGCATGAGGGAATATATAACTTTGTATGGTCAGTCACTGCTTTTGTTTTTGAGCACATGGGAAAACATTTTTGTAGACCAAACTCATGAAGAAAACAAGGTGCACCGCTTGCCCTCATGCCGGTGCACTGAACAACGAAGGTTCTAGGAACTGATATGAGGAGCACAATAAGAAGTGAGGACAAGTTCCACCGCTTGCAGTGATAAACAAGGAGGGTTCTAGGAGCTGATCGGTATGAGCAAGCACAATGAAGAGAAGACAAATCTCGTTGCTTGCAGCAATAGATTTCAGCACATGCGGCACTAGCATGAGGGCAAGCCAACAGTCCATCTTCTGAGCACAAAGTCACACCATCACAGATAGTCGGCTCGGGGCTCTGACTTACCCATGAGACACATCTGAGGCAATAAAGCGTTAGGAAGCATGTGCATTATAACACAGTTGTATGCTTTTATATATGGTTACAGATTATGAGCAATACTAGATATCATTAAAAAACTTTCATGAAAATGATCATGAAAGATTTATGACCCTTGGATTACACTTAAAATAAAACACCACACACTAATCAAGGTAATCCAAGAGTCATAAATTTTTCATGATCAGATTCATGAAATTTTTTTCATGATCCGTATCTTTTCTCATAGATTATTGAAAGTGTTTCACTTTTTGAAACACAAAAATATGTGGTTGTCTTATTTTAATTGAGTAAAAAGTGAAATAATATTTAAAAGCTAGAGTAAATGAAACGTCGCGGCTTGTGTAACGGCTTGTGTAACGCTTACAGGCCGATACGTACCGGGACTCGGCCGATACTCCTGTGATTTTCAATCTCAGTGATATATCGGCCTGTATCCGTCGCGGTACCCCATTTTTCCGATACGTATCGGCTGATACGTAGCGTATCGGCCAATATTTAGAACTATGAGTGGATTGGAATTGCATGAGGGAATATATAACTTTGTATGGTCAGTCACTGCTTTTGTTTTTGAGCACATGGGAAAACATTTTTGTAGACCAAACTCATGAAGAAAACAAGGTGCACCGCTTGCCCTCATGCCGGTGCACTGAACAACGAAGGTTCTAGGAACTGATATGAGGAGCACAATAAGAAGTGAGGACAAGTTCCACCGCTTGCAGTGATAAACAAGGAGGGTTCTAGGAGCCATGTGGGTAGTGGATGGAGCCAACATATATAACTTTGTATGGTCAGTCACTGCTTTTGTTTTTGAGCACATGGGAAAACATTTTTGTAGACCAAACTCAGGAAGAAAACAAGGTGCACTGCTTGCCCTCATGCCGGTGCACTGAACAACGAAGGTTCTAGGAACTGATATGAGGAAGCACAATAAGAAGTGAGGACAAGTTCCACCGCTTGCAGTGATAAACAAGGAGGGTTCTAGGAGCCGATCGGTATGAGCAAGCACAATGAAGAGAAGACAAATCTCGTTGCTTGCAGCAATAGATTTCAGCACATGCGGCACTAGCATGAGGGCAAGCCAACAGTCCATCTTCTGAGCACAAAGTCACACCATCACAGATAGTCGGCTCGGGGCTCTGACTTACCCATGAGACACATCTGAGGTAATAAAGCGTTAGGAAGCATGTGCATTATAACACAGTTGTATGCTTTTATATATGGTTATAGATTATTGAAAGTGTTTCACTTTTTGAAACACAAAAATATGTGGTTGTCTTATTTTAATTGAGTAAAAAGTGAAATAATATTTAAAAGCTAGAGTAAATGAAAATGATAATACTACAATTCACTATTTTAAAATGGGTATATCATAGGTAATTTATGACACTTTGTGTTGAACCATTTTAATATCTTATATTTATTTATTGGTTTATCTTTTTCATAAGAGCATCTCCAACCCACTAGGCATATGATGCTTGTTAGTCAAAATGCCTAATGTGACTCACTTTTTTCAACTCCAATGCACTAGGCATATGCTTAGGCATTTTGGCTCAGCTCACATTCACTAGCTACATGTAGCTAGCCTTCAAGGCTAGGCAAAATGTATTTAATCATTAAGATTATTTCCCTCCATCTTTGTTGCTGACATGGCATTCTATAAAGTTAATAGTATTTGGATGAATAGCTAAAATAAAGAGCATGGTTGGGGCAGAAACATGAAATCGTTGACAGGCAAAATAAAATGTATACTTTATAGTAATATTTAGATAGGTAAAATGCCTACTACCATTGGAGATGCTCTAAATGGGGTTTTATTACTTTGGTAACCTCTTGGTCATAAATGGAGGTTAAATAGAATTCATGAACCTGTTTAATGGTCATTATTTTGGTGTAACTATTTTCTTGTTTAATGGTCATTATTTTTGGTGTAACTGTAAGGTGCTTATAGCCTATATATATATATAGTCTACTCTTTTCTATCTATAGAGATCAACTATTCTATACAAGAGAGATTACTAGCAAAGAAAGGTGTTTTATTGGTGGAGCTTTGGGTTCACCATCTTGTGCAGAGTTGGCCTGAACCATACGACAAGTGGTCGGGCTGTTGTATCCTGGAGGGGACAAGTCATAGTGTTGTGACTGCTGCATCGGTATTTGGATTCTTACTACCGCAGTGGGCTTGATCTCCTTAAAGAAAACGAGATATCCGTGCCTCAGCCTGATCTATTTGTATCTCATTTTCTTTGCATCATTTATCAATATTGTTTAGTTTTTGGTATTTTCTCCAACACTTTGTGATGCTTATATACTTGATGCAAAACATCTCATATTGAATGACGCAAGGATAGTGTAGAAAGGAACTAGATATTGTTTTAAAAGATGAAACAGGGATTAGATATCATTCTAATAGACGAAAATTTTAGAATCCACATGAACACCCTTGAATCCATAAGGAAGATAGAAGAAAAACTCTTTAAAATATTATTGATTGAAAGCTTCCATTACATATGCTTGTACGCTTATTTATAATAAACTAAATCTAATACTTATAGGAAAATTAATTCTAAAATAAATTAGGAAACTTAAATCAACACGAATTAGGAAATCTAAGAGAATAAGAAACTAAAATTCTAAATTATTTAAAATCCTAGTCAAAATCCAATTCCAAAATAATAAAATTAAGAAATATAAAAATTATAGAATTTTGTTTTACATCATACTCCCTTTCGTTAAAAAAAAAAAACAAAACAAAACAAAACAAAACCTCGTTCTCGAGTTTCACAGGAATAGCAGCAGATGGAGATACATGAAACTTGAATAAGTCTTGCATGTTGAAAGTTTTTGAAATAGCCAAGTCTGCAGAAAGCTCCACCACATAAGCATTATCATTAATTTTTTGCAAGATGCGAAAAGGGCCAATTTTCTTTTGTTTCAGGTTGTTGTATGTACCCACTGGAAACCTTTCCTTCCTTAAATGTACCATCACCATGTCTCCTACCTCAAAAGTTTATTTCCGGCGATGTTGATCAGCAGCCATTTTATATTTCTCAACAGACTCTTCTAGCTTCTGTCTAACCTCTTAATGCATTTTAAATACCTTTTCTGCCATATGATCTGCAATGATACTCATACCAAGAAGTTTAGGCAATGGAACTAAATCCAAGGTGTGCAAAGGCGGCCGAATATAGACAATCACAAATGGGGATTTGCCACTCAATCTGTTACGGACATTGTTATAAGCAAATTCAGCTTGAGATATAGCGAAGTCCCACTGTTTTGGACTGTCTTGGCACAAACTACACAAGATATTTCCTAAGGTTCTGTTAACCACCTCTGTTTGTGCATCAGTTTGCGGATGACATGTGTTGCTGTACTGCAAAGTTGTATCCAGCCGCTTCCACAAAGTTTGCCAAAAATGGCTCAAAAACTTGTTGTCACGATTTGAAACTATGGTTTTGGGCAACCCAAGTAATGAAACCACTTCTCGAAAGAACAATTGGGCAACATGAGTAGCATCAAATGTCTTTCTGCAAAGAATAAAATGGCTAATTTTGGAAAATTTGTCAACAACCACAAATATAGAATCCATACCACGTTGAGTTCTTGGAAGTTCTAGAATGAAGTCCATAGACAATTCTTCCCATGGTGCTTCTGGAATGGGGAGTGGAGTATAAAGACCCATACCACGTTCAGTTCTTGGAAGTCCTAGAATGAAGTCCATAGAGAATTCTTCCCATGGTGCTTCTGGAATGGGGAGTGGAGTATAAAGACCAATGTTCTGTGCTTGTCCTTTTGTAGTTTGGCATGTATAGCAACGTTAAACATACTTCTCAACTTCACCCTTCAGTTGTGGCCAGTAATAACGAGATTCCACCAGTGCGGCACTCTTATCCCATCTCATATGACCTGCTAATCCACCATAGTGTGTCTCAAGAATAATGGGCTCTCGTAGAGACCCTTGAGGAATACACAAACAACTCTCAAAGAATAGAAATCCATCTCGTAACTGAAATTTGTTTGAACTTGGCAGCCCTGAATTACACTTTGCCTATGCCTCCTTGAACTCATCATCTACGTAGAGCTCCTTTAGATAATCGAATCCATAAATTTCATTCCGAACAATGGTAAGCAACTCAGCTTGGCTACTCAATGCATCAGCTACTTTGGTCAATTGACTAGACTTATGTTTGATAGAAAAAGTGAATTTTTGAATGTATGCGATCCATCTAGCATGCATGCGGTTTGGTTTTACTAAATTTTGAAGGAATTTGAGAGCTTGGTGGTCGCTATTCAAGACAAACTCCCTTTTTATTAGATATGGTTCCCAATGATGTAATGTTCGGACTACGGTATATAACTCCTGCTCATATGTGGTCCACTTTTGTCAGGCCTTGCTAAGTTTCTCATTGAAGAAGGCTATAGGTTTGCCTTCTTGAGATAAAACAGCTCCCATGCCCATGCCTAAAGCATCACATTCAACTTCAAATAATTTCTCAAAATCTGGAATAGCCAAAATTGAGGCAGTGGTCAGTCGTTCTTTAAGAATTGCAAAACTCCGATTTGCCTTCTCAGTCCACAGAAGTTTATTTTGCTTCAGACAATTAGTAAGGGGCGCGGCTATAGTGCTAAAATTCCACACAAAAAGCCTGTAGAATGTTGCAAGTCCATGGAAGTTGTGAACCTCATTGATTGTTTTAGGAGTTGGCCATTCTTGGATTTCTTTCACTTTGGCTTGATCTACTTTAATCCGTTCAGCGCTTACAACGTACCCCAAGAAAATTAGGTTGCTTGTCATAAATTACATTTTTTCAAGTTGACGTAAAGCTTATTTTCCTGCAATGCATGAAAAAAGTCCCATAAATGTTACAGATGCTCGGCTTCATTATGACTATAAATCAAAATATCATCAAAGTACACGACCACAAATTTTCCAATGAATGGGTGAAATCCCTGGTTCATTATTTGCATGAAAGTACTAGGAGCATTAGTTAATCTGAATAGCATCACCAACCACTTGTATAATCCTTCCCTGGTTTTGAAAGCTGTCTTCCATTCATCACCTGGGTGACTATAAATCTGGTGGTAGCCACTCTTCAAGTATATTTTGGAGAACACCTTAGATCCTGCCAATTGGTCAAGCATGTCATCTAGTTAAGGTATAGCAAATCTATACTTTGCAGTGATCTTCTTTATGGCTCAACTATCAATACACATTCGCCAACTCCCATCTTTCTTTGGAGTTAACAAAGCTGGTACGACACAAAGACTCACATTCTCTTTGATTAATCCCTTTTGAAGTAACTCGTTCACATGTCCTTGTAGAATCTCGAATTCCTTTGGGCTCATTCGATAATGTGGCAGATTTGGTAGACTTGCCCCATGGACCAAGTCAATCTCATGCTGGATATTTCTCATAAGAGGTAATTCTACAAGTAATTCTTTCATCTTGAGCGTCTGAAACTCGGACAACAAGGATCTTACTTGTTCAGGCACTACATCTAGAGATGTTGCCTATCTTTTTTTTGGTTTTACGACCACGACATAAATTTGTTGCGTTTCTTAGACCTCCTTGGTGATGTCAGGTACTATAAGGAATGATCTTTTCTTGAGGATGGTAGCATGACCCTCACTCCTCATAGGAGCTAGAACAATCTTAATGTTGTCTTTGCAAAAAGCGTAAATATTGTCTTCGAATTGATGAATCGTGTTCATATCAAATTGCCAAGGTCGCCCCAATAACATATGACAAGCATCCATGTCCACAATGTCATACATCACTTTATCCTTGTAATGTTGTCCCATTTTTTTTTTTTTTTGAACGGCTAAGAAAGAGACTTCATTGATGAAAATGTAGTACAAGGTACAAAACAAATTACACCAATAAAGAGAAAGAGAGGAGGGGTGCAGGAGCATCACAATGAGCTAAATCATCCCAACGAGGTTGGCACCAAATAGCCCATCCTATTAATTGCTAGCACCTCTAAGTTGGTGAGGAGCCAACGAAAGGGACAAACCAAACTAGCAAAACAGCACAAAACACAGATCAATAAAGCAAACACCAGCTGAAACAGATCAATACACCAGCTTGCATACTCAGATCACCAGCACCCATTAGAACAAATCAGAACAGATCACAGCAGCCATTAGAACAGATCACTTGCAGCCCTAAGAACATATCAGAACAGGTCACCAGCAGCAGCAGCTTGGGCACCCTTAGGACTGAACACCAGCAGCTTGCATACTCAGATCAATACAACTCAGCAGCTCAGAACAGATCAAAACAAATACAGAAGGCATAACACCAGCAGCAACCTTCAAATTAGAACAGGTCTATAGCAGCCATTAAGACAGATCACCAGCAGCCATCAGAACATGGCACTCCCAGCCAATCTCAAGAAGCTCAACAAACACAAGAACCAACTTTAAGACAACAAACCAACACAGCAAACCAAACTGAAATCAAAATTTTGCAAAGAGCCCAGAAGCTCACATCACTAGCCTCACCAAACTATAGCAACCCTTGCCTTACCCCTGAGATATTGTAAAGGAAATCTGAAATCGAAAAATGAAGCTCCTTTGAAGCAGCCTTAAGCCAGAAAGCAAGCCTAATGAGAATCAGCTCTTGTAGCTCCTGCAGATTTGGATAAGACGCATTAAAGGAGCAATCATTCCTATGCTTCCAGATTGACCAGAGTGTTACCAGAGGAATGGCACGCCAAATCTGCAGCTCAGCTTTCCTACAAGGGTACCTTGACCACCATTGCAGCAGACCAATGACAGAGTCAGGAATAACCCAAGAGACACCCCACCACTGCAGAAGACTTGACCATACTCTCCAAACAAATGGGCAAAGCATGAGAACATGCTCCAGGGATTTCTGCCTGCTGTGATTTACAAAATACGCACAATGAAGAGGCTGAGCTAGACAAGACTCCAATCCACTGCAAAAAAACAGAAGTTTTGATCTTGTGTTTCCATGCGAGCCAACCAAATAACTGGACCTTTGGAGGAAGAAACTTGATCCACACCAGACGACTGAACCTCTCAATCCCTCCATAAGCACTGCTGGTATGATTGTATAGGTTAGACACAAAAGTTTGCCCTGGCTTGGCTGCACTCCAAACTGCACTGTCCTGAGTCTTCAATTGAAGAGAAAGGGCTGAACCTACAATGCCATAGGGCCTTAGCAATTCATTCTTTTCCCAAACAAAGAGTGGCCGCCTAAATGTGAATAACCAATTCTTAGTTGTGCCAGATACTTCCACAAAATCCTTTAGAAGACCGTTCTTTTGTAAAGATAAACTAAAGAGACGAGGGCACTCATCTTTTAGACAGAGATTCCCACACCAAGGATCAACCCAGAAACTTATGCGATAGCCATTTCCCACCTTTAACTGGAAGTTGCTAGCATAGAAGAGTGAAAGAGACTGGTTTTGTTCACCTGCTGCCACTATGCCATTCCAGATATATGAGGATGAGGTGTTTAAACTTGGGTTTGGAACCCATTTTCCACCAAGGAACCAATATTTACTGCAAATAACCTTATACCAAAGTGACACTGGTTCAGAAGCAAATCTCCACCACCATTTTAGAAGTAGACACACATTCACATCTCTGATTCTTCGAACCCTCAAATCACCTTGCTTTATACTCTTGATAACCTCTGGCCATTTTACTAAATGAATTTTACGCTTCAGATCTAGCCCTCCCCATAAGAATGATGCTTGAATTTTGTCCAACTCCTTTGCAATTCCCTTAGGTAGCTTGAATAGTGATAAGTAGTACACAGGTATACTTGATAACATAGCTTTCACCAAGGTTAATCTACCTGCATAAGATAGTAGCCTCATTTTCCAACCAGCTAGCCTTAGTTTAACCTTTTCAACTACTGGTTTCCAAGTTTTCTTCCTTATAGGGTTTGCACACAAGGGTAGACCTAGATACTTTAATGGTAGATTTTGGGATTTATAGTTCAAGAGGGAAGCAAACTCAGTAAGGGTAGATCCGGAGATACCAATCCCACAAACTACACTTTTATGGTAATTAATTTTAGGTCCTGAAGCCACTTCAAAGCATCAAAGAATTTCTTTCAAATTTAGCACCTCTGATAGCTCAGCTTCACAGAACAAAAGGGAATCGTCTGCAAATTGGAGGTGTGATAATTTCACCTCATCATTGGCCCCAACTAATACCCCTTTAAGCAATCTCAGTTCCATAGCTCTCTAAAGAAGGATATTTAATGCCTCAACAACCAAATTGAAAAGGAATGGTGATAAGGGGTCACCTTGCCTGAGCCCTTTTTGGGGGTTAAACTCCTTGGTTGGAGATCCATTGACAAGGATAGAAATTCTAGCAGTAGTAACACACTCCTGAATCCAAGAGATCCATTTTTCGCCAAACCCAAATTTTGCCAGCATTGAAAAAAGGAAATTCCAGTTGATGGAGTCAAAAGCCTACTCAAAATCTATTTTAAGTAGCAGCCCGGCTTTCTTGGATTTGACCCAACTATCCACAACTTCATTTGCAATCAAAATACCATCCAAGATGTTTCTACCTCGCAGAAAAGCAGATTGTGTATCACCTATAATCCAAGGCATAACTAGCTTCAATCTATTTGTTAGGACTTTAGATAGAATTTTGTAGATGGAACCAATCAGACTAATAGGTCTGAATTCGTTCAGTGTTAAAGCTTTCTCCTTCTTAGGGACAAGAGAAATGAATGAGCTATTCAAACCTGGGAATAATCTGCCACTGGCATGAAACTCTTGCATAAAATTGAGTACTTCACTTTTAAGCACCTTCCAAAATTTCTAGAAAAACATCAGATTAAAACCATCAGGTCCTAGTGCTTTGTTCCCATTACAATCACTTACTGCTGCCCAAACTTCATCTTCAGAAAAATCTGCTTCAAGCACATGGAAGTGGGTGCTGAGCCTAATGTTTTTGAATTCACCTGACAAGGTTGGTCTCATTTTCCAGTCATCTTTGAAAAGGTTTGAAAAGTGAAGCCAAACCTCATTTTTGACAGAAACTGGATCCTCAATAACCACATCCCCAATTGTGATGGAGTTAATAGTATTTCTGGTTTGTCTACTAGTGGCCATGACATGAAAAAACCTCGTGTTCCTATCTCCTTTCAGATTCCAGTCCAACCTAGATTTTTTGAGCAATTCCCATTCCATCTTCCTGCTCAAAGACCACATTTCATTCCTTTTCTCTCTTTGCAGCAACAATTCACTATCATCCAGAGGTCTGGTTTCATCTTTTAGATCAAGATCATGCAAAGCAGATTCAGAGGCTTCTAATTTTTTAGCAACATTACCATAAGACTCTTCATTCCATTTTTTTAAAACCAACTTCAGGGACTACAATTTCCTCTTCAGTATGAAACCTGCAGATCCATTCAGGTGTCGTTCTCTCCAGTTGCTCTCTACCAAGAAAGCCAGAGATGGATGTAAGGTCCATGCATTCAGAAATTTGAAGGGTTTGGGCCCCCAATCCCTACCATCCTCCATGAGTAGAACTGGACAGTGGTCAGAAATAGTTCTTGGGAGGCCCCAAAGTTTAAGTTTATATCCCACTAACCATTCAGGACTAAGGAGAAATCTATCTATTCTACTCCACTTTTTTCCTTCAAGAGTATTACACCAGGTGAATTTTCTGCCTAGCATTTGGACATCTACCCCCTCACAATTTTCAATGAAGTCATTAAACTCCTGCATGCCTCTATCCCTGCGAGAAACTTCTATTCTTTCCCCCACATTCTTAATCTCATTGAAGTCTCCACCAAGGCAC